GCTGGGACTACAGGCGCCTGCCACCACGCCCGGCTAATTTTTTTGTATTTTTAGTAGAGATGGGGTTTCACCGTGTTAACCAGGATGGTCTCGATCTCCTGACCTCGTGATCCACCCATCTCGGCCTCCCAAAGTGCTGGGATTACAGGCTTGAGCCACCGCGCCCGGCCCACATATCTTTATAAGAGATCTTGATATCTGGAGCGATAATGTCTTCCAGATCTTGTGTTCTTGGCTACTTCTGGCCCTTGAGTTCATTTTTAGACTCTGTTCTGTTCCATTCTTCTATTTGTCTATCTTCACACTAAGAACACGCTGTTTTAATTATTGTAGCTTTAGAGTAAACCTTATTATCTGGTGAGGTAAAACTTCCATTTTCTTCTTCCTTAAGATTATTTTGGCTACTTTTGGCTCCTTGCATTTTTATTTGTAAATGGTAGCATCAGTTTGTCAATTTCCGCTACAAAAATATGGTGAGATTTTGATTGAGATTGCACTGAAGTCACACATTACTTTGAGAAGTATTGGCAACTTTACAATACTAAAGTTTCCAATATATTACATCATATAACCTTCCATTTATTTAGCTCTTCTTTCATTCCTCTGAGTGATATGTTGTGGTTTTCAGACTAGAGGTTTAGCTAATCTTTTGTTAAGAATTTTTCTGAATAGTTTATATTCCAATGTTTAAAAATTTTCTAGTTGCTGCTGCTATGTAGAAATACAACTGCTTTTTCTGCCGGACGCGGTGGCTCACACCTGTAATCCACGCACTTCGGGAGGCCGAGGCGGGTGGATCACAAGGTCAGGAGATCAAGACCATCCTGGCTAACACGGTGAAACTCCGTCTCTACTAAAACCATAAAAAATTAGCTGGGCGTGGTGGCGCCGAGATCGCTCCACTGCACCCCAGCCTGGGAGACAGAGCAAGAGTCCATCTCAAAATAAATAAATAAATAAATAAATGAAATACAACTGCTTTTTCTTATATTGACTTTGTATTCAAAGACATTGCTAAATTCAATTTTTTTCTAATTTTTTTAATTTTTTTATTTTTAGAGATGGAGTCTCACTGTGTTACCCAGGCTGGTTTCCAACTACTGGCCTCAAGTGATCCTCTCACTTTGACTTACCAAAGTGCTAGGATTACAGGTGTGAGCCACTGCACCTAGCCTACATTCACTTATTAATCTAATAGTTTACCTGTAGATTACTTTGGATTTTCTATGTGTACAATATATTGGCTGTAACATCAACTTTGTTTCATCCTTTCCAATCATTATACCACTTCTAAATTTTCTTCACTTGTTGCTATGACTATACAGTGTAGAACAGAAGTGATGATAGTGGCCATCCTTGTCCTGTGTCCAAGCTCAAGAGGGGGTGCAATCACTCAGAAAGCTGTTCAGCAGTGTATGTTGAACATACAGATACACTGCAATCCAGCAATCCCTCTCCTAGATATATGCCCACAAGAAATGAGTGTATGTCTGCCAAAAGACAAGTACAAACATGTCCTTAATGGTTCTCTTCATAACGCCAAACTGGAAACAACCAAATTCAGAACAAATAAATGGTAGTAGACTCAAACAATCACATGCTATTTAGCAGCAAGAATGAACAAACTATTCCTACAACATGGATGACTCTCACTAATTTGTTGAGCAAAAGCAGTCAGACATTAAAAAGCACATATTACATAATTAAACAAAGTTCAAAAAAGGCAAAACTAACCTACAGTGTTAGAGGGCATGGGGCTGGTTACTCAAGGGGGAGGGGAGGATTTAGGATGGTGCTTCAGGGGCTTTCTGGAGGACAGATAAAGTTCCTATTCTTGGCCTGAGTATTGATGGATAGCTATGTTCACTCTGCAAACATAGCTGAGCTATACACTTGTGATTTGTGTGTATTTCTGTGTATATTTCAATTCAAAGTTTATTAAAAACTATAGATACCTAAGTTCATTCTCACTGCAATCTGTACAATCTGAATTTGTATAACAAATGTCTGCCCAGCTCTATAAATGTACAGCTCTTGTAGACACTAGGCTTTTGGGCTGTATTTTGATATGTTTGTCCCTCTGAAGTTCTAGCTATAAGGGCCGTTTTAGTCTGTTTGTGCTGCTATAATGAAATCTCTGCAACTGTGTAATTTACAAACAACAGAAATTTATTTCTCACAGTTCTGGAGGCTGGGAAATCCAAGGTCAAGGCACCAGCAGGTTTGATGTCTGCTGAAGGCCCATTCCTCATGGTGCCACCCAGGGGTCTTCACACGGTGGGACAGAAGGGCAAAAAGGGCCTAAGCTAATTCCCTCCAGTCCTTTTATGAGGTACTAATCAAATTCATGAGAGCAGATCCCTCATAACTTAATCACTTCCCAAAATGTCCACCTCTTAATATTGCCACCATGAGGATTAAGTCTCAACATGAATTTTGGAGGGGACACCATTATTCAAACCACAGGAGGGGCTGTGGGTAGTAAGTAGAGTTTTCTCTGAAAGGGTATACACTATACATCGAGGGGAGAGAGCCTCTTTAACAGGATACTAAAGTGCAGAAGGCAGGCCTTGTTCCAGTGAAGGAAGGGACTCCAAACTCTTGCTATGCTTCATTTCCTCTGGTCTAGAGCAGTGGTTCCCAAACAGGGATTGAAGGGGCCAAGGAGTGAGTTGAAGACATTGCTATGAATCTAAATATATAATCCACCAAGCATTATCTGTAAAATGAGTATCTCATACATATATGTACTATTATTTAAAAATACACATGACTAATTTCATAATTCTTTTAAATGAATTTGTAATTTTTTAAATTAACAGACTTTGTTCATTATGTATTTCCTCAAATATATAAAAAGTATGCACATAAAAGTATCCCTACTATCGGCCGGGCGCGGTGGCTCAAGCCTGTAATCCCAGCACTTTGGGAGGCCGAGACGGGCGGATCACGAGGTCAGGAGATCGAGACCATCCTGGCTAACACGGCGAAACCCCGTCTCTACCAAAAAAATACAAAAAACTAGCCGGACGAGGTGGCGGGCGCCTGTAGTCCCAGCTACTCGGGAGGTTGAGGCAGGAGAATGGCGTAAACCTGGGAGGCAGAGCTTGCAGTGAGCTGAGATCCGGCCACTGCACTCCAGCCCGGGCGACAGAGCCAGACTCCGTCTCAAAAAAAAAAAAAAAAAAGTATCCCTACTATCAAAGGAATTTGAACAATTTGGGGGCACTAGGGACGCTCGACATTTTAAAATCCTGAGAACCTCTGATCTTGACTTCAAAGGGGGCAAAAGTCTAGGTTTGGGGTCCTTCAGAAACAGCAAGCTAGGAACTCGTTGGACTGGGGTCACATATGTCAGAGAGACCAAGTCATATCTTGTCAGCAGGATATCTCAAAGCAAGTTAATCTCTGTTGTTTTCTTTTTATCCCCGGGCTTCAGTAGGTATTCTTCTGGAGCAATCGTTCTCAAACTTCGGGGAGGCATAGGCATCCCCAGGAGAGCTTGTTTAACAAGTCTCCCAGGCCCCAACACCAGAGATTCTGACTCAGTAGGTTGGGGTGAGGCCTCCAAATCTGCATTTCAAAGAAGCTCACAGCAGATGCAAATGATGCTGGTGCGAGAACCGCTGCTCTGGATTCTTTGCTGCACTCAGCAAACTAAATAGGCAAATACAGCTCCCCAACCAGACAGGCTGACAAGTGAGTTCCAAAGAGAATACTTGGCGATAAGAACTGCTGCTTTGAGACAAAGATGCCCCTCCTTTCAGGGAAACACCCCCACCATTGCCAACCTTGATTTTAGGTGGGAGACTAGCTCTCCCTTGGTAGAACACAGTATTCTTTGGTTGGAAAGCAATCTGATGAGCAGACTAATGCGAACGGTTACAGGATATTCTGTGAGATACCACGCCTTTAATCAAAACAATCAGATTCAATGACAGAATTTCAAAACCAAGGCCCATTAGACTTTGTGGGGTCTTTCGGGGGAAGCTTTCCTGTATCCCTAAATCACACTATGTAAGTAGAAAGCTTGCTGACTGCTTAATGTTTTGTTACTACGATTTCTTCTAGTTCCGTAGCCAACTTTTTTTTTTTTTTTTTTAACCTTCTGGCTAGGGTTTTCATTCTTTTATGTGATTAAGGACATTTTTCTGCCCCAAGTATTTTAGTCCTCTTAGCCGGCTCTGTCAAAAAGAACTGTCTTTGATGATAGAAACGTTCTACATATGTACTTTGTCACATAGCAGCCACTAGCCATACAGGGTTATACCACACCTGAAATGTGGCTGGTGCCACTGAGGAATTGAATTAATATTTAAAGTTTAAATCCCAATACTGGATAGCACGGCTAAACCTCTCCTAATCCTTCACGTTTCTTACGAAGATTATATAGTAGGATATTACAAGCACTAAAAAAGAACTATCTTAAATCTGAAGCAAGATGACTTCCCCAACTAGTACGTTTGTTTGGTAAAAGACGACGTGCTCTTTTTTACAGTTAACTCTAATTCGTAAGTTGTAGAACGTTTTCTTAACAACGTGTATTCTCCCAAATTCGGGGGAGGCTGCCTTGCCTTTTGCTCCAGCGGTTTATTTGGCATAAAATCTGCAGGCTTACAGGAGCTGACACCAGGGCAGAAAAGAATGAGGAATCTGTTCCCAAGTTGGTCACAGGCCGCTAAACTGACCTAGAAGATATTTAAAATGAAATTCAAATACCGCACTTTAAAAAAATACGAAGGCTGCGACGAAAACGAGAAATGGGAAAGCAAGAAGGCGGAGCGTGCCGGCGACTTCTCTGGGGACTTCCTCAGGGGGTCCTATTCCAGTAACCCCGCCCCCCACACCACCACCTCCCTCGTGTCGGAAGAAGCCAGCCCAAGAGGCTGCCACCTCGTGCTGCGCGCCGCGACCACGGCCGCCCGGTGGTCCCCTGGCCCCGCCCCCTCCCACCTGGGCGCCCCGAGCCCCGCCCCGCCCCACCGCCGACTCCGCGCGGCGCTCGGGCGCCGAGTCTGCGCGCTGACGTCCGACGCTCCAGGTACTTTCCCCACGCCCGGCCAGGCTGGGCGTGGGGGCGGGGCGCGGCGCGCAGCGCGCATGCGCCGCAGCGCCAGCGCTCGCCCCGGATCGTGCGGGGCCTGAGCCTCTCCGCCGGCGCAGGCTCTGCTCGCGCCAGCTCGCTCACGCCGCCATGCCCACCACCATCGAGCGGGAGTTCGAGGAGTTGGATACTCAGCGTCGCTGGCAGTCGCTGTACTTGGTGAGTCGCGGACCCGCGCGGCGGTCGCCGACCTCCTCCGAGACCCGGGCTCGTGCCTTGCCCGCAGGCTCCCTCCCGCCTCCCCCGCCTCTCGCCTCTCGCTCGGGGCGGAAGTGGCGGCGCGGGCCGCGTCAGGGGTGCGCCTGCGCTGACCGCTCTCTTGCTCCTTTTGGGGCAAAAAAAAAAGGCATGCATGAGTTGAGCAGCCTCTTGGTTAGCGCAAGCGCGGTTGGTTCTGGAGGGCGGCGCCAAAGCGCCGTCTTGGGGAGCGCGTGGATACGCCACTGGCGTGGAGCGGCCCGGGTCGGGGTTCTTGGTGACTCTGTGGGGGCGCCGGACCCCGCGCCTCGCCGTCGCTCCCACGGCGCTGTGCGTGGTTCCTGCTCGCGGACAGCTCGTGGTTTTTCTCTGGCCGGGTGTTTTGTGGCCGGGCAGGCAGTCGGCGTCCCCGAGAGCGGCGAAGGCGGGGGCGGGCGAGCGGGGCCGCGGCGTCCGGGTCCAGCTGGCGCTCGCGCAGGACCTGTCGGAGCAGGCCGCCGTGGGCGCCGGTCCGGCCGCCGCAGCCCTCCGCGAGGCGAAGCCCGCTCTCCTGGCGGAGCCGCCGTGGTTGGGGGTGGCTCGTGGCCTCGGGCGAGGGCAGCGCTCCCGGCACCCTCCGTCTTCGCATTCCCCAGTAGCCCAGCGGCGCCCCGCATGGGGTCTTCCCCCGCAGAATCTTCCCGGAACGAGAGAGGCTCTGCTTGTGTTCGTCCAGTGATAGCGTGCCATTCTCTTTATAGTTTTCCTTACTGAGGTATGCTTTCCCTGCAGTGAAACGAAGATCTCATGTGTGCTCCCAAACGAGTGTCACAGATGAATCCCCCCTTGCAAGCCCCCCTCAAATCAAAACAACCTTTCCTTGCCCTGAGATAGTGCCCGCGTCCCCTCTCCAGGGGCACCCTGTTCCGACGCCTATCGCCCTAATCGTGCCTGTTCAGCTCACAAAGATGCAATATGTAGTATAAACACCTGTGATTCGCCTTTTTATGTCAACTAGACTACCTTTTAATTCAAACAAAACTTTCTTTTAAAATGATTTAGTTGCTTTCTCCTTCGTTTAATCCTCGCCGTATTCCCCAGATTGAATTTGGTGACGGTTAAGTTAATGCTGCTTCTGATGTTTGGTTCTCTGTGTGTAAAGTAAAAGAAAAGACGGGCTTTCCTGTAAATGTGGATGATCCTGGGTTTTTCCCCTTTCCATTTAATTAGATGACAGTGAAAAATGTGTTCAGAAAGTAACGTTTTCTTCTTGAACACATTAGTGGGAAGTATAAATATCCTGATTCCCATGATACAGAGTATGTTAGAATAGAGCTTCAAGTTTTAAAGAAATGCTGTTAAGGACTCTTCCAATTATAGACAATGTGAAACGCTAATTCTAGTAGGAATCTTAATGTGAGAGAGAGCCTGCCAGCTGCATCTTCTCCAGTTACATTTGTTTTAGCAGAGGCTGCTGTATCTAAGGCTTAGGTTATATATATCGAAATAGATTTGAAAAGAGAAAAGTGAATGTAACTTAATTCAGCTTAACATTTTGGTTTAAGAAATTTGATTTTCTTTGGTATCATTAATATCTTTGAAAATTCAATAAGAATTGTGATTCCTCTTTCCAGAAAAATAAACTTACTCGCATCCTCTGGAGTATTTCACATCCATTTTCAAAAAGATCAGGAAATCCTTCTATAGATTCTTACCGAGGAATCCTGTAGTTTAATTGGTTGGTCAATACTCATATTAGTATTTTTTCCTAGTGGAAAACAAGACCATTCGTTTGGTCATGAAACCATGACCATGCACACTGATGTTACAGTAAAAGTAGGTCACAAATCAAGAAAGTTAGTAATGGAAAGCAAGTCAGGAAGTTTGGACTGTGTGTTTTCTGTGGCCTTAGAGTTAGAACATCCATTCAGCCATTCCACAAATATGCCCGGACACCAGTGGAGTTGCAGCTTTTGCTCGTGGCCGTGGGGATTCAGCAGAGAATGCTCCTGACAAGGTTCCTGCCCTCGAGGTGCTCACACTCTAGGGCTTATTCTTTTGGGGCCTCATCGTAGTTCCATGTTTTCGTTCATTAGTTCATAACATGCTTGTTACGTGCTAGTGTTAGACACAGAGAATTCTAGTTAAAAGACAAGAGTCCCAGTTTTTCAGGATGCAGCCCTGTAAATAGGTAAGCAGATGAAAACGTTCAAGTGATACATGTAAAGCTAGCCTGAAGCACAGGGTGTTGTGGAGTTGTATACCTAGGAGTCCTGTACTTCCGAAAAAGGGGTGCACATGGGAGTTCTGGTGAAGCTTCTGGGGGGAGGGAGGACTTCACCTAAGTCTTGAAAGACATTGGCCAGGGGAACAGGACAAGGGAGGTAAAGGGAATTAGTGTTCCAGCAAGGAGGGAGTGCACAAAGGCGCTGAAGGAATGCTGAGAGAACCACTGAAGGAATGCTGAGAGAACCACCCACAGTTTAGCTTGGAGACTGGTGTGAAGTTGAGATGCTGGAGAATAAGGCAGAGCCTAGAAGGCCCTTGTAGATCAGAGTAAGGAATTTGAGCTGGTTAATGGGAACTGTCTGTGGAATTGTAAGCCTGGAAATACCATGATCATATTAACGGGTTTTTTTTTTTTTTTGACAGAGTCCCGCTCTGTCGCCCAGGGTGGTGAGATGTCAGCTCACTGCAACCTCTGTCTCCCGGGTTCAGGTGATTCACTTGCCTCAGCCTCCTGCATAGTTGAGATTACAGGCACACACCACCATGCCCGGCTGATTTTTTTGTACTTTTAGTAGAGACAGGGTTTCGCCATGTTGGCCAGACTGATCTCGAACTCCTGACCTCAGGTGATCCCCCTGCCTCGGCCTCTCAAAGTGCTGGGATTACAGGTGTGAGCCACCGCTCCGGGCTGATCGTATTTACTTGTTAGCAAAATCGTTCTGACTGCTAGCAGGCTGGATGGGGAAAGTGTAGGCACGCGGCGCGGGGCAGTAGTTGGTTGGAGTAAACCTGAACAGAAATGATGAGCTCCTGCACTTAGGCAGTGGCAGGAGGGATGGAGGGGAGATAAGAGATTTGAAATGAAATGGTAAAGGAGTATATATTATGTACAAGTTTGGTTTTGAAACTGTTTAATTCAACTTGAGGTACCTGCGAGACACTGAAATTAAGCTAGTTGAATGTATAAATTTGGAGTTCGGGAGACAGGTCTGAGTAAATGTGATTTTGGAAATCATGAACACATGGGTGGTATTTGAGGTCTTAGACATTGATGAGATCATCCAGGGAAGATACAGAGCGTTTGGAAATACCAAAGGCCAAGGACAGAATCTTGACAACATTTAAAAGGATGGGTAGAGAAAGAGGAGCTTGCAAAAAAGACTGGCGAGGAACAGCCGCAGAAGTGGGGAGGAAAGCAGTGGAGGGAGTTGAGGGTGAGCAGGGCCGCCTGACAGGTAAGGGCCAACCTGAGATGGCCATTACATCAAGCAGCTAGCTTAACAGATACCTTAAAGGGAGTCATGCCAGCAGACTACACAAGACAGATACGAGGAGTTCAGGAGAGAGGGTAGGAAGAAATGCAAACCACCAAGTGTACACTGCTCTTTTTAGAAACCCAACTTGAAGAAGTGGGGAGAGGCAGCTAAAATGAAGCAAAATTGTGTGACTTCTCACTTAAACGCTTTAACGGGTTCCCGTTGCTCACAATGTAAATTCATCCCTTCCTCCAGCTCACAAGACCTCATGGCCTGCATCTCTCGCTTGATTTCCCCTGTTGCTTTCCTCCCTCTTTTCCACTGTGCTGTATTCTTGGAAGTGTGTGTGTCCATTCTCCCCTTAGGGCGTTTGTAAATGTCGTTCTCTCTGCCTTGGCACAATTTTCCCTCCTCTTTCCTTTCTTGCTTAAACTACCTCCTACTCATCCTTGAAGTCTCACTTCCTTGGCAGGCCTTCTTGACCTGCCCATGCTGGGTATGAGCCCCGGTTGCGTACTTCTCTAGCATCCCAAGACTTCCCCTTTCATAGCGGGAATTGGATGTCATACAGCAGCAAATGATTTCGGGAACACAATTTGCATTCAGCAAACCACTATCTTTAAAGTAACACAGCTTGAGTAGGAAAAAAGTGTTCAAGGTGGTTTTCTGCTTTGTTTAGCACAACAGTTTCTGATGATGTTTTATGTTTCTGATGATGTTTTTGAAGAGTTGTGCTTTTTTTTGGTAATGCTAATGAAGCTGGGAAAAGAAAGGCTTTGCTCTTGAGCAAAAACTGGATACAACTAAAAGCCAGACTTAGTAGTAGGGGAACTTGATACCTTGCTGAACTTATTGCAGGAGAAATGAATTTAGTATTTTGAGTCTGAAACTCTGGTCCCTTACTCCTTTTTGCTCCTGCTGAACAGTGTCTTTTATTTCATGACTTTGATAATAGGAGGTTTCTTAGAAATGAATTCTTAGGTTGGAGCAGAACAGACTGTTAATCTGAGTTTATATTTTTTACTACCTCTTCAGAGCTTCGTGAAGGCAGTGCCAGTGCTTTGCACAGCACCAGATGCTTAGTAAGCGCTTGAAAATATGTGCTGAATGGATGACTTTTTACAAGGAAAGGGCAACTTGATATATTTATGTGACTGCAGGGATGAACCTAAAGAGAGAGGTGGAGGTTGAAATAGAAGGGATGATTGTTGGAGCCAGAAATCTTGGAAAGCAAGAGTCAGTGGGACCAAGAGCAACAGGTGGAAGAATTGATTGTGAAAGAGTGCTGGCCAGGCGGTGGCTGATCCCTGTAATCCCAGTGCTTTGGGAGGATGAGGTGGGAGGATCCCTTGGAGTCAGGAGGTTAGGGCTGCAGTGAGCCATAATTGTGCCACTGCACTACAGACTAGGTGACAGAGTGAGACCCTGTCTCTAAAACAAGAACAACAAAACAAAGGGTGCAATTGGAAAAGTTTAATTTGGTCTCATTGTATGAGG